GATACCAAGTCTGCCAGATGAGGGAACAGATAATAAAGAGGCTGCCAGTCTGGTTGCCTATTGAGGCTTGTAGCAAAGAAGGAAAAGTCTTAAGCTAATATTTTTCTCAGTGTAGTGAAATAAGAGAGTACCTGCTTTAGAATCAGATCTGGGATAAAAGCCCAGCTTTTTGGTCAATAAGCCGTATGATGTACCGACAGTTACTTTGCCTCTCGACCTCAGTTTCCCGGTTGGCAGAGGGGAGAAAATATCATTACCTTATAGGATTTTTGTAAAGCTTTAGTGAACAAATAAACAAATCTCACCCCAATATAGTGCCTGGCAGGCGGTAAGCACTCAGAAAACAGGAGCTGTGATCATCACCTCATATGGAATCTGATGGGGCCTGTTCTCTCCAAGGAGCAAGCTATACCTTTGTAAACAAGAACATTTAGACTTCTTCTAAGCTGCATCTTTTCTTGGTTATTTCTCACTATTGAGTAAGCTGTTTGAAAATTCAGGTTCTCTCAGTTGCATTAAGAAAAAGATTCAAGTCAGAATTAAAGCCCATGCAAGTGGCCAGGGAGTCAAGTGCCCACTAAGCAGGGAGAGTGTGCCCTGAGGGCAGTGACTGCAGTGTCTGCACGACTCACTAGCGCATGGAAATAAAGAAAAAGCTGGGACTTTGGGCTTCTGATTCCTCTTCCTAGAAGATTGGAGTTTCTGGGTATTACTACATTAAGGAGGCTGCTGTTTTCTGCAATACCTGTATAATACAAGTGAAACGCACCATGAGGTTTTCAGTGGGCTCAGAAGGCCAACATGAATACAAGAAGGTGGCTGGTGAGTAGCAAGCATAAGTGAAGCAGGCCCAATGGAAGAACAATCCAGAAGCAATAGGGAGTGTCCGGGGCTGCGATGTTCAGGGTACAGAAGCACATGCTCTGGCCTAAGGAGGCGCACTGACAGCCCGGGAGTGTGGACCACGCATGGCTACAGCTTCCAGTGTTCTCAAGAAAAGACAGATATCAGGACTTTTACATAAAATTTTCAATGTTGGCCATTCGACTCAGTTTCATTCAATCTGTGCAAGCTCTAAAACTTGTGTGGGAAGAGTAGAGATGAGCTGATAAAAGTCAGAATACCAACACTCATAACTTCAGTTATTACTTCTCTTTATTAATACTTCTCAGTATTTTATGCACAGAGAATATTTCCTCACCAATGAAAACTGGGTTTCTAAACAACGGAGCAGGAGTGGGCCATGATCCAGAACATGCCAATGTGGAACATTTAAGACTCAATGAGTAAAGGTAAAAATTCTATTAGGTTTCAGTTAATCGTTTGTATTTACATTAAACCACATGTGTAATTACAAAAGTGATCATGTGAAACAAAGTCCTACATACTGATGCTTTTCCCTTCAAGCCCACAAAAGAGAGTCCTCTTTTATTTCCCCACTGCCTAATCTTTACCGTACCTCCATCCACTCTTGTAACCATTGTCACTTTTCCACGGTCAGTGCCATGGTCTCATGCACTCCATTTCTTTTAATTTGAAACCAGAACACAAGATCTAGGAACCTGAAGTTTGTTAAATCCCTTGATCCAGCTAAGTACATGACAGAGCAGTTCACGGCAGATGGGGGAAGACTGAACCTGGGGACCAGCCTCCCTCACTGAGAAGCAGCAGGGCTGAGATTCCAGCCAGGAGGGAGCACAACATCCAAAAGAAGAGAACAGATGTAGGTGGAGGTCCCCAGAAGGGGTCCAGGGCCTTTGTGCATCTACCTCTTAGAGCTGCCACCACATAAATCCTAGGCTGACTCCAGTTAGGACCTACTCAGTGTCGCATAATTCAGTATTACTGTTCACTATTATTATTGACACTGAGACCCCATCTTTGATGAAAGTCTTTTCCAACAATGTTCTAAAAATAGCAGAAAATGTTTAATCTCCGAGAACCAGAGAGAAAGGGCTGTGTGACAAGGATTTCTATATTTACAGAATGATTACTCTGTTTTCCTACCTGAGTGGTGATTTCACATGCAACCATGACTCTGGTAGAAAAGCCATCTTCCAAGAGAAATACGCTGCTGAGAACTTCTGGAAGCACATCAGCCCTGACACCTTGTTGGAGGCAAATGTTGGACCCAATCCAAGTGGTTTCTAGAGGTTTCACCTGTCCTGCTGGTTAACTGGACAGAAACCACAAGGTCTGTAGGCTAGTGAAAGGGAGCCCCGTGGAGGAGGTTGTCAAAGCCATGGAGAGCCAGCAGTGCCAAGACCAGTGAGAAGACCACAACTGTTCTAATGTAGACCTCTTCCACAGCCACCCAATCCTTCCAAATTTGGGGAATCTGCTCTCATATGCTGCTCCTTTGTGCTCTTACTTCTTACCTCTCTTTCGGTTCCATTTTCTTCATCCCCTCTGTAAGTTTAGCTGAATTTCAGAATAAAGTTATGACCACAAAATCGAAACTAATATTTAAAAAAATCATTACAAGGCAGAGTACAACTCTGCAGGGGCAGAGGGAGGGGTCTGAAAAAGGCCACATGCAGAATTCAGGAATACAGGACATCACAGAGCACTAAGCAGACACAGTGGAGTTTAGCAGCCAACACAGGGTATTATGGAAGTATAAACAAAGAAACTAAAGGGCTAGATTATCATTAAGACTATTAAGACAGCAACCAGTCACTAAAGCCAGTTTCTCAAGGAGCAGCCGTTCTTAGGATCAAGACAAAAGTCTCCCTACCTGCTCTGGGCCAGTGCAGTCCTGGCAGAAAGGACCCCAGAGTCCTGGACTAAGTATGCGATTTATTTATTTCAGAACCTGTCTAAAGGAGTAAATTCTATCAGATTAGTGCTTTGGGGTAATGTGAACCATGTGGTTTTGGATTTTCCAACTTTTAAAGAGAAAACAAATTTCATGTAAAATTACCAATTATTTCATGTTGGCCACCAATTCAAAACTTAGGCACTGTTCTTCCTAGAGGTAAAGGCTGAAGGATTCTACTGTACAGACTGGATATGCAGGAGCAGTAGATTCACTTTTATAATTTAAGGAAAAATGGGTTTTTACATTATAATTAAGAGAAAAATATACTTAATGTCTTTGTGGCAAAGAATGTATACTTTGGCAAGAAAACCTAAGACATTTCTTTTCTTTATACTGATTAAAGATAATTTAAATAACAGTCATTTTGGAGAAGTGCAGTTAAATAAACACAGTAAGGTATTTAACAAGGATACTACTGTGTTTTAAGTTTCCCAGATTTAAACAAGAATATTTGTGTAAAGTAAAAGATAATGACAGATCTGGAATCTGACAGTCTACCCGTAGAACATGGCTTATAGATTTCCTGGGAGATATTCAAATCCACTCTCAGCATAGAATGTTCTGGAACTGAAGAAAAGTTGCACTGATATCAGGAGTTCTCTCTTTCTGTTTAAGTCTGCCACTTCTTGAAATAAAACAGAACAAAGTGAATATGTTTGTCCTGGACATGGAAGACTAATTGAGTTTTCTTTGAAAATGACTTAAACATTTTGAGATTAAAATTTTTCCTAAGTTTTGTATTATTCTGAGTTCCAATATGATATGAAAGTTGCACACCATGGAAAGAAATCCAGTGGAGCAGAGTATCCCCATAAGAACATCTACTGAACCCCAGAAGATCTGTTTGTACATCAGATTGTAATTCATTTCGCACTTACCCAGAGCTCACTGCCATATACCTCTGATAAAACAAACTAGATTGTGAAATTCAGAAACTGCTAAGGTCGACTAGCAACACTGCTCATCACAAAAGAAAGCAATCCTGGTGCACCTGAGGTGCCGAGGGACAGAGACAACAAAACCCACTTTTTTCACTTGCCGTTTATCCTGGGACAGGTGGGTCAAAATCATAAAGAATGTTTCCCAGCTGAACGCTTTGTTAAAAAACTCCTCAAATAATTTGTTTGCGTTGAAAAAATACCACATACTACCACATTTAAGAAATATGTTTAAACTATAGCAAAAGGAGAAATAGGAAATGATAGGAACAAAAGGTAAAAGCCATAAATCAAATTTTAAGTCCATAAGGGAGTAGGGTATTGCCCAGTGGTAGATGCATGCTTAGCATGCATGAGGTCCTGGGTTCAATCCTCAGTACCCCCATTATAAATTAAAAAACAAACATATCTGATTACAACCCCCCCCAAAAAAAGGTTTAAAAAAAGATAAGGCTAAAAACAGAAAAAAATTAAAAATAAAGTATAAAAAAATTAAATCCACATCTAGTGAATGCATGATGGTAAGAATCATGATGGCTACCAGGATATATAAAACACAGTCCCTTCCTTAGTGGAGCTAAAAATCTAATATTGGAGGGAAACAATATAAAGACATGAAATGATAAATAGTTTCACATGTTTAAAGTGCAAACACTTCAAAAGGGAAAAATGAGATGAAGCAACACAGTATTAATTACCAAAATCACTACAAAGAGAAAAAGAATGACTTCAGCCTGAGTTTTCCCTGAGAAAGAGAATTTGAGCTTAGTCTTAGACTAGGGTGGTGACATACTATGTTCTACAGACTCCAATGTGCAAAGATCATGAAATTACTTTGCTCAAATCAAATATGACTCAAGTCTGCATGGTTCTTTGCAGGCAGGTGAGTGCCATTTCTATGCCAAGTTTGGACAGGAGAATCTTGGTTTATGCCAGAGTCCTGATACCCAAGTTTTCTTCTACTTGGTGAGACAGGAACCCCTTCATTCCTCTTCACACTGTGCCACCCAATCTCCTAACATTCCCAGAGAGTATCACTCTCTGTAGTGGGATGACTAGTGTTCCCCCATATCCATGTTTCCCTGAAATTTCAGAATATGACCTTATTTGGAAATAGGGTCTTTGCAGATGCAATTAGTTAAGGATCTTGAGGTGGAATCATCCTGGGTTTAGGGTGGGCCACAAATCCAGTGCAAGTGTCATTATAAAAAGAAGAGAGGACATAGAGACATAGAGGTTACCTCATGAAGATGGAATCCAAGGATGAAGTGATGTGTCTCCAAGCCAAGGAACACCAAGGATTGCCAGCAATCACCAGAATCTAGGAGAGAGACCTGGAACAGATTCTCCCTCAAAGCCTCCAGAAGGAACCAATGCTGCTGACTTCTTGATTTTGGACTTCTGGTATCCAGAACTGTAAGAGAATGAATTTCTGTTTTTTAAAGTTAAGAAGTTTATGAGAATTTGTTGCAGTAACCCTAGGGAACTAGTACACTCCCCTTCTCTCTTTTTTCTCCACCTTCAACACAGTCCCCTTCCTGTTCTCCTTCAATCCCAAACATAAATCTCTCAAGGACTGTGACCTTCTGAATAAAACAAAATCTGGAAAACAGTTTGTCTATAAACAACTTCTACTTTCGGACTAGAAGGCATCCCTTCTCCCTCTTTATTCAAGGCTCTACAAAAGCCTGAGAACCTGTTTGGACAAGGGAGGGAAAGAGAGATGACAAAATGCAAATTAATATTTTGTGTGGAAAGCATATGGGCAAAACTGCAGGTTGGGAGGTACATATGCAAAGTACTGACTGGAAAAACCAGGATCAAGAGACAATGAAGGCACGATTCAAGAAATAAAAGAGTACTAAAATATGGAAACAGTCTAACATAAATTTAAAAGAATTGGGGAAATATTTTAAAACTACTGAACACAAGGCTAAAAGGCTTAGTCAGAGATTCCCAAATCTTCTCAGTTCCTGGTACCCTTTTTATCTCAGTAATTTTTTCACAGCAACTCTAGACCAAAAGAAGTGCTTAATATCTTCATTTATTAAGTAGTTAGGTTCAAACAATGTAATATATATTTATGTCCTAACAAGTTAGTAATTATTTGAAAAAATAAGTGTATATACATTTAAAGAAAAAATTCTATTTTCTTTCTTTCTTAAGCAATCACAGTTTTACTATTGGGATGTGTATGCCTCCTGGGCACTGCACAATTTCTAAAGAGTCAAAATCAGACTGGATGCCACCATCCTCAATTCATGTCCTGTACTGTTTTCCAAGAGGTACTTGCTTTTTGTCACAGCAATTGTTGAAAACTCACATTTGAAAAAGTAAGATGTCACCAAAAGGAACTGTAGCATAGTCAAATATTAATATTGCAAACTACCTTGAGATAGTAATTTCAACAGTGTGAGGAAGATGTACACTGTCCTTCCTTCAATTTTTACAAAAATTCTGTGGCATCTCTGTGAATTCATTGTGGTACTCCAGGCGTTCATCGTCTGGAAACCATTGGCTTAGACAATAATCTCTAATGACAAATACTCAAAGTTTTTGAGCAGAGAAATGACCTAATCAAAGCCATGTTTTAGGAAGATTTATTGATGATTGGAAGACAGATGAGGCTGAAAAAGAAGAAGACTAAAGAAGGGAGACCCAGAATTATGTATTTGGTTCTAAAGGATTTTTTTATGATAATCATTGCTTAATGTATATGAAAATTTCTTGTAAATGGAGGGCCTTTGAGTTGATTGGCAAAATTAGGAGTGCTATGTTAATGAGAGAAAAAAATTATAATGCAAGCACTGTGTTGGGTTAGAGAATGTGACTTACTAGACATAAGAGATGTTAAAATGTGAATAATATTGCAAATCATTCATTATTCTGAAACTGCTAGAAGATCCAGAGTTCAACATTCTGAAGCCCTCCTCCTTGGAGGAGACATTTGACAAATGAGTTAGGCAGCACCAACAACTCCATTCAAAATAGGGTCTCACATTTCTCCAAAGAAATATACAAATGGCCAATAAGCAGATAAAAACATGTCCAACACATTAGTCATTAAGAAAATGCAAGTCAAAACCACAGTGCAAAATCACTCAATTTTGACTTCATGGCCTCTAGGGTGGCTATGATCAAAAAATTGGACAGTAAGTGTTGGTGAGATTATGGAGCTACAGGAACTCCCATACATTGCTGGTGGGAATGTAAAACAGTGCAGCTACTATGAAAACCGTTTGGTGGTTCTTCAGAAAGTTAAATGACCTTGTAATTCCATTGTCAAGTCTATACCCAAAAGAAATGAAAACATAGAGTGACCCAAAAACTAGAACACCGCTGTTCATGGCAGGATAACTCAAAATGGTCAAAAAGGAGAAACCACCTAAATGTCCATCAACTGGTGAATGGATAAAAAATATGTGCTATATCCATACAATGGAATGGTATTCGGCCATAGAAAGAGATGAAGTACGGATACATCCACATGGACGAACCTTGAAAACACGCTAGTGAAAGAAGCCAGTCACAAAGGGCCATGTATCTTATAATTCATGAAATGTACAGAATAGGCAAGTCCAGAGACAGAAGGTAAATGAGTGCTTAAAAATTAGGGTTTGTGAGGAATTAGGAGTAACCAGTGAGTATAGTGTTTCTCTTTGGGGTAAAGAATATCTTCTGGAGTTAGACAGCGAGGATGGCTGTGTAACTGGATATACTGAAACCTGATGAATTGTACATTAGATGGGTGAATTTTGTGGTGTGTGAATTATCTCTATATATCTTTAAGCTGTCACTTAAAAAAATAAAAAATAAATCTTTAAGCTGTCACTAAAAAAACCAACAAACAAACAAAAATAGGGTCTCAAAAGCCAATGTCACTTGGGTTATAGAAAGATGGCCAGGTTTCTACTTTTCCTTGTATGCCCTATTTTGAAAGGAATCATTTGCTCTGATATTAGCAGAATTAGCAGAATTAGCAGATATTAGCAAACTTCACACTCAGTTTGTATGTGTATACGTGAGAGAAGTAAGGTTGCTGTTTATTTGACTTTCAGGGGAAATTTGAGCTTTGGGAGATGTGGGCAAAAGTAGTTTTAGAAGCATAGCACTAAAATTAAATGTACCATACAAATAAAATATTCCCCATGTTCTGTAGTTTTACTTTTTAACATAGAATTCTTTCTTAGGTGACCAAAAAAAATCAGTTTCACCAGAAAAACAAAGGCTCAGAAGCCAGCGTTCTAGAAGCAATCCTGTGACTAATTTGCTGTGCTCTTAGACAAGTCATTTCTCTTTAGAGTGTCATGCTTTAGCTCTAGGATAGGATAGGATAGGATAGGATAAAACAGAATTTGTACTAGGACTCAAGATCACAAACTACCTGCTCTGAGCTGGGTATGACATGCAAATAAATGTATTTTGCTTGAACCATTGTGTTTTCATTTTCTTCATATAAATTCATTTTAATACTGACCCTCTTCGGATGGGTCACACACTGTAAACGAAACCCAAACAGCTTTGCTTCTTAGTGCCAGTAGTCTGGCCCTTGGAGGATTTGAGTTTACAATGCCTGATCTATATGATTGCTGAGCTCCCCAAATGCCTAAGTACCTCAGATATATACTGAGAAAGGGCAGAATGTGATTCGACATGTATATGTTCATGTATGTATATGAATTCATTCAATTCTATAAATAATTTATTTTGTTATTTTCCCTGTACATCTTTTTCTTTACCAAATACTATAACCCTGCTCTACAATTTTACTTATCACTCTAAGGCTTAACTACCTTCGTGATTATATATACGACTTTGTTTGAAGCAAATACCAATGTGTTTGGCAAAATAATGAATTATATATATGTAGATGAAATATATGGAACATATTTTATCAGCTAAGCAAACTTAAGTGATGTGTCAGATCACACATATCTTCACAGTAGATTCACTGAAACCATCCTACTCTGCATGTTTTCGATAGTGTGATGACGCCATAATGTTAAATATAAAGTGGATGGGGCTTAAGCTATGAACTACAGGAAGAATTCTTTTTCATGAATATTTCAATAAATTATCAATAAACCATTGGCTAATTAGCCACTGAAATGCAACACACACATTTAAAATGTCAACATATATTTTAAAAGAAAAAATATATAATTTACTTGTCTAAAGCCAGTTTTTAGCTTTTTTTCCAGAATATGTACATATGGACTTGAGCTCATGGTTTGAGTACACAAAATTTTGCTTCTCACATTTTGTCATTTAGCCTGACATCCCAAACACTTTTCTATGTTCAACTATCTTCATAATTTTTACTTGATGACACCAGAATATAACATCATCCGTCTAGATGTTGATTTACTTAATTAAGTTTTCCCATGTTTTTAGTATTCAACTTATTGCTGATTTTTCACTATAATCGTGGTTGCAATAAGGTTCTTTATGTTCATAGCTTTTTTTAAAACTTCTTTTGAGGAGTTTCCTCAGGGTAAATTCTCAATAGTAGAATTACAGAGTTAGAGAGCATAAACTTTTCTATGGTGTAGGATATATATGTATATATCCAAATTACTTTCCAAGAGGTATATGAATTCACATTTAATGTATCAGCTTTATTGGGAACTTGCCAGCATTCAGTTATTACCATTTTTAATGTCTATACTAATTTAAAAGATGCTAAAATTGCCTCATTATTGTTTAAATTTGCCTTCTTTTGAATATTACTAATGCCAAAAATTTTAACATGGGACTCGGTATACTGGGTCAAACAGATAATTTTTCTTTTCCAAAATAAAAAGTAGAAATGCGATACCCTCTTGATGAGTCCTAACGCCACAGGGATGCTATAAAAAAATGAGATGAGCAAGAACTTTCTTCAGTTTATCCCAAGATGCACTGCTATCAACATGATAATTTATCATGAAACAGCCAACTACATGGAATTATTTTTCTAAAGGTGATACCTATAATATACTCAACTATCTAACATTCTAGTATATTCTAGTATTCTAAATATACTCAACTGTCAAATAACTCTCTGTTCATGGTATTTTCATTTAGTTCTTTCTTTGTTTGTTTTATTGGTTTTTGTTTTTAATGGAAGTACTGGGGATTGAACCCAGTACTTCATGCATACTAAGCATGTGCTCTACCACTAAGCTATACACTTCCTTTGCATTTAGTTCTGGAATAATTCTATATACTTGATCTTCTAAATAAGATGCATTTAAAGTTCCTTCTAATGGCTGTCTTGAATAAACAAAGTGTTTTTTAATAGGTTGGGTTCACAATAACTGGGAAACAACTCAGGAAATTTTATGTAGCTTCAACTTTACAATTGTAGCTAAACACAAAATATTCTTAAGAGGGTTACAAAGGCAAGATGTTCTCATTTGCCACCAGCAAAACACATACTTTCTGTTTTTCCTTCAAGTGCTTTTGCAGTTGGATAGTTCTTTGTTTATTTGGTTCATTGCAGCTATGTAGAATTCATTTCCAAAAGCCTATTTGTCTAATTTTGACTTAGCAGTAATTTATGAGAAGAGTGTGTTTCCCACCTAAAGGATTATCACACAAATGACAATTTGCAGATGTCCCGATAT